AAGAGATGAAGCATATGTAGTATCAAGATTCAATTTATATAATCCATCACATAATGTCATAGTACCAACAACACGAGATTGACAAATTAAACTAAAAGCACCATTTCCAAAATTAAACTTAAAACCAAGAGCATCCAATTTTGTAACTGACAAAAGGTTTCTCCTCATACTCGGTACATAAATAACATATTCTAAGTCTAAAACAAAACCGGTGTCTAAAATCAATCTATAGACTCCAACTGCTTCAACTCGAGCTTTGATACCGTTCCCCATCACCAGATCTCTTTCTCTATCACTAACCTCTTTCTGTTGAGAAAACTCTATATAGTATTTGAAATATGTAGGGTTGCCCCAGTATCAATCCGCCAAGTATTAGATGATACATAAGCAAGATTAGATTCAGAAACTATATGAGTTAGCAATGTACCTTTTTTCTCCATGTTCTTTTTGAACTTTAAACAATCTTTCTTCATGTGCCCCATCTTCTTACAATAAAAACATCGGACTCCACTATTTCCTCCTTTTTGCCCTTGAGGGTTGTTTGACCTAAATTTCTTGAACTTTTCAACATTCATTTGGCTTTTGAAAAACTTATTTTTTGGCCCTTGGGGTGTCTGTATAGTAAGATTCACACTATCAACTTTACTTTTCTTCAACCTCTCCTCTTTCTGTACACACATGGAGATTAGCTCACTAGGGCTCCACTTGTCCTTTTGAGCGTTGTCTATGACTTTCAATTGATCAAATTGATATGGGAGAGAATTCTGAATAAATTGGACGAGAAATCCATCATCCATATTCATCTTTATTCTTTTCATTTGGGTAGCAAGATCAACCATGTGAAGTATGTGTTCTCTTAGACTTCCCGCACCCTCATATTTTGAATTTACTAATTGTGTCATTAAGGAACTACCAATAGCTTTAGTAGAGCCAACAAACTACTCCTGAACCATAATCATGTATTTCTTAGAAACTGTCTCATCCGGAATATCACCTCTAATATTCTTTGAAATTGTCCATTTCATTACCATCAAGAAAATACGATTGGCTCTCACCCAATCTTCATGTTTTTCTTTTTCCTCTTTTGTGCTCTGATTAGTGGCTGTGGAGGTTCATCTTCTATAGGACAAAATCGATCATGAGAATGGCCATGACTATCTCTCTTTGTTCTTTCCAGTCAGAGAAGCTTGAACCATTCAAGGTTTCAGTACCAAACAAATAGCTAAGAATTGTGGCAGTATTCAAGGCTGAAAAGAAAAGGAAAACATGCTTACTACATTGCATCTTGATTCCTTATGCATGTTAAGTTAAAATCATGCTATAAGATGCATAATATCAATTAGACAAAACCAAGAGTGACCCTGAAAGATTAATGGATCTGGTTCAATGAGAAGAGCTGATGTTTCATTGTATTTTCACATTTGGGCAAAAAAATACAACGTACATATGCTCCTCTCTCTCCCCCCATTTTTTTATCTCCTTTATGGTGACAAAAATCTCCACAAGATTGATCAATATGAACATCATAAATTTCCAAGAATTTCCACCTTTGGGTTTAAATCTTTGTTATTTAAGTCATTCGTATCAAACATCTTGTCCCATTGGTTTGCACAAAATAATGACCCACCTTTGGGTGCGATCACCATTTTGATACAACATAATGCAAATTGTCAATGGGTAATTACCAACCACTTGAACACCATATAAATTTTCGAAGTCTAACCACTTTGGTGGTTACAAGATTTATCCAATTTGAATGGGTTCGAATTGATTTGGCACATGATAATTCAAAGGTATAGTGAAGAAAAAGATCATATATCATGCAATAATCATAATTTGGATTTGCAGGGATTAATACTAATGAAAATAGAATAATAATAATGACAAATTAAACGATAAATTAGGGTCAATACATACTAAATCCATTGAACCAGTGCCAAAAATGAATTCCAAAATTCATAAAATTTTACCAGAATGTAGTTTAGACCAATATAAGATTGTGAGAAAAAATTTAGATCAAAATGATTTAATACAGCCCCTAAATCGGCTAGTCAAAGTTTCAGGTTTTACCAAACTAGGGATGAACCATAGTGTTTTAATCATAATTAGAGTGTTTGGACCCACATTTATGGATTCAGGAGATCAAAAACTTGAAGGGTAACAAGTTTCATTAAAATCCAATATGTATAAAGGCATGAACCGGCCAGTCTTTATAGGTAAACCAGTCTGGTCAAACCGGATAGTCAAAATTAACAAGAACTTGCTGAATTGGCACAACGAGTTTACTCGGAGAACTCATCAGGTAAGACCGATGAACTCGCCGAGACATGGCAGCACAAAATGGGTGAGGCTTTTCGGGTTCGGGTCCACCCTCGAACTCGTCATCTTCTTCGCTCGTTTTAGGTCTAAACAACCCGAATAACAGCAACATCTGGGCTGCTATATACTTGCCATTTCAGGCCAACATTCGACCGGAAATTGGTCGTGAATGGACGAGGAGCAAAAGTTGACCATTCCCTTCCGGTTACCTCGCCGGAATCCAGCCAAATCGCCAGAAAACAAGAACCTAAAATTTTGTTTGTTTGTTTGTAATCTTATAGTTTCTAATGCATAGGTAGAGCAACTTGGCTTTGATACCAATTGTTAAAATAATATCAACCTTTTGGTCTTGAGAAAACAGAAAAAATCCTTGCCTAAAATTGGCGATCTTGAAGAAACCATGACTAATCCAACTATCTGGGAGATCACTTCAACCCCATTTCTCTATGGATTGGGATAGATTGCATAGGGTTGGGGACCTCCTTTTTATAGCAATCTCAATGAACGGTTACCTTTCCCATCAAGGTGACATGTTCATGGCTTTGAATGCTCTGTAAACGTATTGGTACTGAATGGTCCGTTGCAAGACCATTAAAACAAAAGAAACGTTTCTTTGCAAAACCATTAAAACAAAAGAAAAATAACATTTTAAACGTTATTCTAGCAGTAATGTCACGTATTCTGCAAAGCAAATCAAGTTGCTGATTAGCTCATGAATCTCTTTCTAGTGTTCTAAACTCCTTAAATATTAATTTGCAGAACCTCCTTGTATAGCCCCCTTATTTTATTGAAAAAAGAAACACCAAAAATCTTCCTTCTACCACATAAGTATAGGTTTTATTAAACTTGCTTATAAATCTTCAACCATTTCTTGTTCTCATTACTTGGAGTTTCAGTGTGATCTTACCGGCATGCTAAAAATGATTCTCTTAAACATAATGCACCTTTCCTTCCTGTTTTTCCTTTTGGCTGAAATCGTTTTTATCATGGTTCAAAGTGTTGATACAAAAATCGTGTTTCAAACAAGCGATATTCATGGTTGAAAACAGTGCCAGGTTTTAAAATTTGAACCCTACGAAGGATATTAACAAATGGTAAAAGCAAGGATTAAAAAATCAATACCATACACTCTTAATTGAAAAATCGATACAATACCAAAGTATTCTAAAACATTTACCAATAGTCTATCCCAACCTTCTAATAAATATATAATACAAAAAGGATGATCATATCAATATGCATTGATATTTAACTTTCGGCATCAGGCTTTAAAACACGATAATTCAATACCTGAACTTTCAAAACGTGCTAATTTAGTATCTATCATTAATCAACCATTAATCAGCGGTTAAGTGGCATTTGAAAAGACACATGCCTTTCAAGTGTCATCTAATTCTCTTTATCAACCATCCAAACGTTGATAAAARAWGAACAATCCCAAATTCTCTTATTAAACCATGCTGGTGACCCCAACTTTCTTGAATAGAAGAGGCATGGATTTGGGACTGCTCATTTTTTATCAACGTTTGGGTGATTGATAAAGAAAATTAGATGACACTCAAAGGCATTTGTGTTTTTTCAAATGTCACTTAACAATCGGTTAACGACCAATTAATAATAGATACTAAATTGACATGTTTTAAAAGTTCAGTAATGAATCGTCGCATTTTAAAAATTTGGGGACCAAAGTGGCACTAGGCCCTAGGGGTGAGCAAAACGAAAAACTGAACCAACCAAAGAAACCGATTGAAACCAAACCAAAAGATTAGTTAATCGAAATGGTCGGTTCGTTTTCGGTTTGATGTTTTTAAAAAACCGAAGGTACCATTTTCGATTTCGATAACCAATATAGAAAACCAACGGTTAACCAAACCAATTGGTATACATATATTTCTATATATTTTATATATTTGTGTATATTATATATTATAAATTAATAAATATGCATTATATATAAAAATATATATTTATAATATATGATATATTATTTATTATTTAAAATATACTATTTTATATATATTTATAATTTTTTATTATATATTTATATATTTTTTTATAATTTATATTGTAAAAAATAAAAAAAAAACTGAAAAACCAATGAACTGAACCGATAGTTATCCGATAGATTTCAGTTTGATTTTGGTTACCAGTTTTCCAAAAACCAATACTACCAGTTCGGCTACAAAAATGCCCCACAGTTCAGTTAACCAAACCATGAGCACCCTACTAGGCTCAAAGTACAGGGTACTAATCAGAAAATTTCCCTAAATTTAATCTATTAATATTCAGATTCAAATCCAATCTTGTTGTGAATCAGATTCATATCAGGCTCGGGTTAGATATTGAAAAACCGTTAATAAATTAAACAAAAAATGATTGAAACAAATATATTACTAATAAAATGAAAAATGATTTCAATATTCTTATATATATATGAATAAAATAACTTGGAAAGTAACTTGTACAGCTCTTTAATAAAGACAACTTCAAATCGACTTTATTAATAGACTGGATAGAGGTTGATCCCTATCTAATTATAAATGGATCAGTTTTAAATTCTTTTTTATTAATAATCAGTTTAAAATTCATGTTCAGACAAATGAATACTCTCTCTCTCTCTAAACAAATTAAAAAAAAAGACTACCATTATATACCATCGAGTTTTGACTTCTGAGGGAATATACTACACACCAGAAAATCTGATTGTATATCTATACGCAGGTTGACAAAACAGACTCCGGAGTTCTATTTTCTTTTCTAATTACAAGAATCAAAAGAAATATAGGGAAAATATTGTTAATTCAATGGAATAGCCTATAAATTATAAAACCATAAACTCATTACAATCAGCACAGTGCCTTCTGAAGAGAGTAAAATATATAGACACAACTATATTTACCTCGTATCTTCCAGGAAGCAGCAACTGAATGAAGACACACCCTTACTATTCACAACAGCTTCGACTTCTAATCTGCACAATGTAGAGGCAAGAGGGTGAAGAATCGTGTATTTAACCTATAGCTCACAACAGCTTCGACTTCTAATCTGCACAATGTAGAGGCAAGAGGGTGAAGAATCGTGTATTTAACCTATAGCCACTTCATCAGGAGCAATCTCAGGATCAGGTAAATTCTGGATCGACTTGTCATCCTCCATTGAGTTCTTTACACACTCCTCGACTGCAGCCTCAATTTTAGGGGAGGAGTTACTAGGTTTGTCTTGGATTTCTTTGGCTTCTTGTATGCAAGCTTTCTGGCCATCATGTTCTGTCTCTGGGGCCTTCGGTTTTGATTTAAGAGGTTCTACTTCAGTTTCTTTGGTCACCGAATTTGGAGATGAAAGCTTGGAAATCAACTTTCTAACAGGTTTCTTTGAGGCACTAGAATCTCCAGTACTGGTTGCTGCTACTTTGGTCGATTTCTTGGAGTCCAGGCTTGGATATGTGCTTTGACAAGATCCTTCTGAAGAGTTGTCTACAGCAGCAATGGAGTTCTTGTGCCTTCCAAACTTTGGTGATATGGCACGTGTTGTAGGTATCTGTAAGAATTAACAACAGGCACAAACATTACAAATAAAACAAAGACATTGTATTCATACATGAGTATACTCAAAAAACAATCCACATGGAGACAACGAGGAAGAAGAAACGTCATTTTTTTTCCAGTTGAATGTTTATTTCAATGAAGCATACAAGTACCAGGGGCACATGTGACGGGAAAATAGTTGGAAACCATAAAGAAGCTTGAGACTGATGAGTTGGTTCCGAGTTTTTGGACTTGGAATTAGTGAGAGGAAAAAATGAAGGAACAAATACAATTTGCTAATCTGGAGATGATCCAAAGAAAGTAAGCTTTTCTAATTCTAGAGATGAAGCCATGATAATAAAAGTTGCAGTGGTTTCCTAGAAAACCCAACTGCAGAGATGTTTTAGGGAGTTTTGCATAAATACAGCTCAAGAGTTTCCAGACACTCATACTACAGTATCTGATAAGTAGTGATGTCAGCATGTGTCATAAAAACATTTATAACTACAAATCCTCAAGTAAATATTTAAAAACTAAAAAATAGATCTTGGCAATAGAACTTATTTTCCTTATTTTATGCATAGAACATTGCATTAGACAATTAATGTATGTTTAAATTGATAAATCACAAAAAGGAATAAACAAAAACCAAGATATTACTTTTCCATAAGGACCAAAACTTTTTAAACTGAACATCACACTTGGACTGAATGTTGAGAGCCAGGAATTCATTTCTCGATTTCCTTATTCTATCAAACACTTGGGGCTGAACTGTGGCCTGTGGGAAACGTTGCCACACTGGAATAAGATTCTAATAACATCATGATGATAGGTGGGAAGAAACTATATAGAAATTAGAAAATGGGCAAATGGGAAACACTGAAAAGACACATCAGCAAAAGAACAGATCTAGTCCTGGTGATTGAAAAACAGCTATATATTTCCGGTTGCGGTGAACTGGCTCTTTTAAACTTTCTTAAGACTTGAAAATTATTACCTAACAGTTACATAGCATAAAACCATGAGTTTCAGTAGAAGAACGTTGAAGACTAAAAGCTTCATCTCAATTAATAATGGCTTGCATCTGAACTCTAGGCAATTTGCCCTATTTCTGCCATGTGGAGGGACAATATGGACAATCTGAATCATACCTATTGGATTGGAGACATTCTGCATTGGCCATGTTTTCAACCCTAGCCCTTCTTATACCCCACTTTCCATTGATGTTTCCCTGTGATATTAGTCGTATAAGGTATCAATCTTATAAGCACTTACACTTTGGGAAGAGTTTCAAGCAGAAATTACTTCCATGAGTAGGAGGTGAAAAGGCAAATATCTGGAGCCCAACCCCTGTTGCCATGTGGAATATTCCTGGTTGTTTTAGAGTTTTGTGTAAAGAATTTAACTAGAAAATTTGTATGGCAGCTTAAGTAGTGCTGAAAGAGATCCACATGTTGGCAATGTCACCCTCTCACATGTCAGTGATAGTCCCTGCATTGCAGTCTGCAGCACAGAAAAAAGCCTTCTCCGTTGGGCATTTTGTATTCAAAATTTGAAAAATAACTATAATTGAGGGGAAGTAGTGAGTTGATGAAAACGAATGAAGCATAGTAAACCTAGAGTGCTGAAAGATGGTTTCGTTTGGTGATGTATTTGATGATCATAGCATATAAAAAGAGGAATAACAAGTAATAAAAAATGGTTTACCAAGGCTGTAATAGGTCATAAATTGATTGGACAAGGAAGAAAAGAGAACAAAAAGGGAGGGAGAAAAGGTTTGTAAGGTTTGGAACTTGGAAGAAGACAGAAATGTGAGGTAGCAGTGTGCTATCCCACTGGTTTTTATATTTATAAATAAAGAAGAAGAAATTACATAAGCACAGTTAATTAGTAAGGGCAGCAGCTATAAGAACAATAATAAAAAAACAAAACAAAAAGAAAACAGACCCAAGTCGAACTAAGACAAAACAACCCAGAAAACATAAAATAAAAATATAACGAACAGCCCAACTTGTCAACAAATGTCAACCATACAGCTGTCCAGTAGGGATATGCAGTGCTACTATAGCAGGTTCACACAGTAAGCTGCAAATAACAATACTATATGGCGCACACATACCTATAGATTATATGTTTAATGACTCCTATTTCACTAACATCTATTCTCCCAACTCAGAACCTCATCATTTGGTTTGTCAACATAAATGTTTATATGGTACAATATGACAAATGTTTTGTATCAATTTCAAAATACACCATATGCACTAAAAGAAGACCCTTAGGCTAAAAACCTTTAAAGCATGATAACATCATATTGCATGAGATATCTTGTATCTGTCTTGATTCTGAGAAACAAAGAGCCCTAGCTTCCCCACATCCACCATCCATAGACGGGGATAGAGCAAGCCAAAGTAGAGTATATGAAGCATATTGTCATTAATCCATTCACCTGAAATGGATAGAGCATGTTACCTTCTTCAGTTCAACCTTTGGAGGAGGTTCTTTATAGAAACTTGGCATTGGTGTAGCTTTAAACATCAAACTCTTCCTCAATTCTCTGATTTCTGCTTCCTGGCTCTCCTGCAAGCCAAAGTAGAAATGGAGTGTCTCAAATAGATGCATCTAAAGCAAGTTAATATAAAAAAAAAATGAAAGGAAAAATAAGAAAAGAAAGAATGTTTGAATTCATAAATAAGATAAGATATTTTTCAATACCTTTGTTTTTGCCTGCAAATTAGTTCTTTCCAATTCCTTTGCATGAATCTTCTCTTCTAGTTTTGAAAAGAACTGAGGAGTGAAACCAGAATCAATTTATTTCTTCCATCTAAATCAATCCAATTGGTTAATGGTACATGTAAGTATGATGCTATTGAGCTATGCAATACCTTTACATGGATTGTTATTATCTTAGCTCTTGTAGTTATTGCATTAAAAAATTAAGATTTGGGTTAAAGTGATCACCCACTGATTGGGTCATTTCCTTTCGTAAGATGTAATGCATGAGTTAAATGGATTTCAGAGATACCAACAAAGAGAAAAAGCAGCTAAAAAGGTACTAAGTAGATTAAATTTATCTCACCTCTTTTCGTTTTTCTGCACGCTCAATCAGCCTGGAAGCAAATCCAGAACCCGTGCTTTTTCGTAGTTCATGAGTAGTGCTTCTGGTTCAACAATAATAACAATAATGATGGAATGTCAATAATCTATGATTGAAGAGATAGAACCAAGAAAAGAAAGATGCTGTTGAATAAGAGAATTTGAAGACCCAGAAAGAGTAAATATGAGGCAGAGGATCATGCTTTAACAGACAATGTTTGTTTTATCAGCTTTAAATACTGATCATGTGATATGTGAGTATTTATGAAGTGATTCGGCAGATATGAAACTACTTATTCCTTAATATGAAGTTAAATCATGGTGGGTGTTAGACAGAGAGGGCATGCAGAGATACCAATATATAAGATTGCATCCAAATATGCACAAGAAATCCCTATAAATGAAACAGAATGATAAATCCAGAGATAATTATCATCATCATTTAAAACTCCTCCCAAACATAAATCATGTTTCACCATTCCATTCTGTTCAGTGCCATATCCATTTTTAAATTATGGGTACTTAAATCATTCTTATTATTTCCACCCAAGAAAATTTGCACAAGGTTCCAAAATAGATGGTTGTCTCCTGATTTCTCTAGGTTTTCTGTTGACAAGCATACTGGCATACATATATAGTGATGATGAAATAAATTTTAGACAGGACTCTCTTGACAAAGGTCCATACCTAACAAATGAATTCATTTTTTTATAAAATAAAATAAGCAGACAAAACCTACATCTCATAGAAGCAAATCAAATTACAAAAGGATACATCAGCAACTCTGTAGATTGCAAGGACAATAACTTACTGGGGCTCTTTGAACTCTGTGCCACTTCCAGTTGCATCTATAGAAACAGACTTACTAACCTGATTTGAAATAAAACACAAAATAAGACAATGCAAATATGGGAAAAGGCACGAAGAAGAGATTTTGGGAAGAAACCCTTACAATAGAAGGTCGGATGCTAGGCCTAGATGTTATGGTGCTCTGCCTGGTAGAAAGCCCCCCAGTATTTGGCTTAGCATCCATGGTGCTCAGTCCAACGGAGGGTCGCCTGTTGAGACTATTGACACGGGAAGTTGAAGTGGTTGGCACATTGGAAACTGGGGCCTCAGTTTCTATGGAACTTGCCCGGGAATGTTTCGTGTCCGTTTTCACGGACTTGCCATCGAAGCTCTTCTTCAAACCATTGGTAAGTATCCCCTTCGACGGGAAAGAAAGACTTTTAGACAGGCTTTGCCCCTGGGTTCGAGAAAACGTTGTGGGGCCTTTTCGACTGGCTTGATCCTTGGTTGTTTTGTTGTTCTTCAAGCCATTATCACGACGAGCTCCAGGTTTCTTATCAGAGAAGATTATTTTCTTGTTCAAGCTCAATAAACTATCCAAACAGAAACAATTTAAAGGAATGAATACATGATACGCCGTACCTTTGCAGAATTGGACCCTTTAGTTCCTGAAACAGTATTGGTTACTTCCACCTCCGCTACAGCAGAATTAAGACCTTCTATCGATGCATCTTCAGAGACGTCATTTACTTGCAACACATCTACACCATTTTCAGCGTTCTCGTTTTCTTTGTTTACATTCTGAACTAAACTTTCCGCTGGAAGAGTTTTCTCGACAACGCCACTTCCATCATCCAAAACAACCCCGCTCTCAGAATCCATTTGGTAACTAAACCGTACAGGGCCAAAGGGAGAGTTCTACGTGTTTGCAATTCAGAGAAAATCTCTTTAATAATCTAAAAAATGCCAACATAACAAAGCTATAAAATGCAAAAGAAACAAAGAAGCACAGTTGGACTGATATAAAACTCGAATCTAAATCTCATAAACCCTCTGCATCACCCTGGATGTTTTTCAAATTAAGGGGGAAAAAAAGAAACATTTGCGCAATCCACGAAACGGTAGTAGTAGAAACAGATCAGAAGAAACTCAAGTAGAAAAAGAAAAGACTCAAACAGATCGAAATCTCAGAGATCCAACTGGATCTTGTCTTATATATACCAATTTAAGCTCAAAAGCACACTAAAACCAAGTAAATGAACATCACTTTACGATTCCAGCACTGGAACCATAAAAAAAGCAAGTTGTATACAGATCAAACACGATAAATAGAGACTAAAACTCTTACCAAAGAATTTGAAGGTTAGGTCTAGAATTGGAGAACGAAATATTTCAAGTGACTGGCGAAACGATTGAGAAATGCTAGGATTTCCATGGATTTCCGAACTAAAGAACCGCCAAAATTCGAATTTTCAGAAGCTTCAAACAACTCTTCCCAGATCGAGATCGAAAGTCCACGACAATGAAGGCCTTAGCCTAGAAGAAGCCCCAACCCAACTCTGCTCTCTCTCTCTCTCTCTCTCTCTCTCTCTCTCTCGCTTCAATTCAACTATTCAAGTCGCCCCTGGTTCGAGAAGCGCGACGGAACGAGATTTTCAAACCGAGCTGGATAAAATACTAAATTGCGAAACTGCCCCTTACTTTCTCCACTTCCCATATTACCCTTACTTTTTCACAAATTGACAAAACATTAATGACGATATTACATCATTATTTGTGAAAACCTTAAGGGTTTTCCTGTCAAAATGTGGTAACAGCTAAAAAATCTGTTTGAAGAACGTGAGTGGGGCCGACGGTGTTCCGTCCTTCTCGATGACGTGGCACGACCAGCCGACGTGATTGGTCGGATGGCCGTCCACCATGACGTGTCCACTTAGTGCCATTAGCTGTCTTCGAAACGTGCTAGCGATAATTGTGTTGGGAGGAGGAGATCGCACGGCTGGCTTCAACTCAACCGCGATGACAAATCCAGACCGTTGGATTAGGATCAGGATCTTCCGTTTCACAGCTTTTGCTGGTGGCACGTTGCCTTCAAGGCTGGCGTCCGAAGACTCGCTAATAGTGGTGGTGGATGCTATAATACGCGGGTGTGAGTGTTGAGCATAATGAACTGGTCGTGATCATCGGAACAGTAGGTCGTGCAGTGGGATATCTAGCCAGGGATTTCCGGGCATGGAAGATCGACGGTGTAGATGACATTTCTGGCGCTTACTGGTTTAGTAGTGGTGGATGTTATAATACGCACGTGTGCGTGTTGAGCAAAATCAAAATATAGTGGTCGCGGTCGAAAACATCGGATCAATAGTGGGCCTCGTGGGCCAGAAGCCCAGAATTTTCTGTAGGTTGTGTAGTGGGATATCTAGCCGGGATATCCGGGGGTGACAGATCCAACGGTGTGAATGACATGTCTGGCGTTTTGCGATAACAATTCAATCGTCTACAGAAATGGGGTGGGTCCACATCATGGGGATAAAACTGGGCCCACGTGGAAGTGGGGCCCAAAGCACATGCGTTAGATTCCAGGAATATTTTCGTGGGATTTTGGAGTTACCACGCGCCAAATTCAGTTGGGGTGGTCGCCGCTTTTGTTCTTTTTGTCCATTTGTTGCTAGTTTGTCTCCAACTTTTCTTGCCTTCAAATACGAACGTGGGAATTTTTTTTCTTATTTTTTATTTTATTCATTTTTTTAAACTATTTTTTTTTATTTTATTTATGAGAACTGTAATATGAATATAATTTTCGAAGGCATGTTAAGATATAGAAAACAATGCATTTAAGAAAATAGAGAGAAGAAAAAGAAAATACAAAAAATATAGGGGTCAAACTCCCAATTTTTGTTATAGAAGAAGATGATGAAGATGTATGGATTAAACAAAATTTTAAGTTACTTATTTATTGGTTTAGGTTCTAAAGTCTTTGAGGGTTTAAGACAACATTTAGCAACATGTAGGGGTGGTCATGAGCCGAGTTTCTCATGAGCTATTCAAGCTTGGATTGGCTTGGTTTAAACTAAGCTTCAAGTAAAGCTTGAGCCCAATATATAAGCTTGAGCCCAGTGAAACTCGTCTCGTGAGACTCACAAGCTTAATTGAGCTTAGTATAATAAATAAATAATTTTATTATATATATACATACATACATACATACACATATAAATATATATTATATAATAATATTTTTATATACAATATTTTTATTTTTTGTGCATAGTAGTAACTAATTTTTATAATTCTAAAGTTTTTATATGTAAAATAAAAAAAAAATATATTTTTATATGTATAACTTTTATTTTTTAGAAAAAGCTTGTCTTGTAGTTGAACTTGAGTTGAGCCAAACTCGAACTTGTGAACTTTTGAACCGAGCTGAGCTCGAGCCTAACACTATTTCTGTGAACTGAGCACGAATAGCCAAGTATTTAGTTCAGCTCGACTTAATTCGGCTCAGCTCGAATCTAGTCGTAGCAACGTGTGTATTGAATCGTGATTAAACACTGACAAATAAGAAAATGATAAAAATAAACTAATATATAAACATACAAAATGAATATTTTAATGGACGCTAGGCAATAAGGTGTCTTTGGAGGGTCATATCACTTAATTTCCAAGCAAATTTGTACCTTGAAGAGGGTGCTCTACATCTTGAGTGTTTCTGTTTTAATTTGTTTTAGAAATTGTTGTATCAGCAAAAAATGAAAAAGAAAACACGTTCTCCAATATGCGTTTGTTTTGAGAAGTAAAATAAGTTGGTTTTGTTTTTGAAAAAACAATTCCAATTTGTTTTTAAATTACTACCAATAAATTATTTTTAAATGAAGTGGGTTTTAGTTTGTTTTTGGAATTCAAAAGAAGAAAAAACAATTTCAATTGAAAAACACCCAGGGGTTTATTATTACTATTGTTTTTGTTGTTGTTGTTATTGTTGTTGTTTTGTAAGTTCCAGAACAAGGATATCATAAATGTTTTATAAGAAATATTGAATGGTATGTAGTTTATATTATTATTACTAGTGGGGGCCCGTGTGAAGCATGGGATTTGCTAAACGAAAGCTAAATAATAGAAACACACAAGAGTATACAATTGTTTTATATTTTTTATTTTTTAAATAGTTAATAATTATTTATATTTTATATACTACTTTTGATATTTTTTACAATACAAAAATAATAATTAATTTCATCTAGGGTTGTTCATCAAACTGATAAAACCGACCAACTTGACCAATCGACTTTCTAGTATTTCCAATCGACTTTGGTTCAACAATTCCCCAAGTTGACCAAGTTTGATCAATTTTGCTTTAGCCATTTGTAAATCGACCAAAATGGAATGACTCACCCATATACGCAAAAGTGGGAAAATTACCATATTTCTTAGTCTAAAAAATATTTTATATCATAAATTTATTTTTAATAATTTAAACTTAATTTCTTTAGTTTAAATCTTTTGAACCCATTGACCAAACAAAAAATCGACCCAAACCAATACAACCCAAGTTGGTCATTTTTTACTAATGCTTAGTCAGTTTCGGGTGACCAACTCCCCAACCTGACTAGGTCGATTTGGTTGGCCCAAATGCCTACAACCAAACCGAACCAACTTGTGAACATTCCAAATTTTAGCTAAATTAATAGTCTAATTTCTAATAAATAACAATAGTTTAATCTCCAATAATTATTAAAAATTTATAGTGAAAACACACAATTATTGAAAATATATTGATAGCGAAAATATAATAAATAACTAATAAAAATACAATAAATACTAAAAAAATTATTAAATTATTCAATAAATAGTGTAATCTAAAATGGTAATTTAATCTCTAATAAATATTAACCAATAAATTATAAAAAACATACAATAAGTACAATAAATTAAATTTAAAAAGTTAAATAACAATAGTTTAATCTCCAATAATTATTAAAAAATTTCTATTAAATAACAAAACAAAAATAGATTTACACACATAATTATTGAAAATGTATTTATCACAAAAATGTATTATTTAGTATATATAAATATATAATAAATATAGGAAGGTGATGAAAAAATTTAAGTGGCTAACATCAAATTTAACAGTTGAAGTTCAATGGGAAAGGAGATCAGCTATTGGGATGGCAGATCTTCTTGGCAAGCAAAGGGTGCATAGGGATCAATTATTCTATGGGATCTCTATTATGTAATTTTTGTTGGCTCATATTAATCATTCTTAATAAGACACTTTATTACTTTTCAAAAAATTCTTACATATATACATATATACACATACATACATACATATGATTATGATATGGAAAAGATATGATATCTAAAAAACTTCTAACCAGTCAACTGGAATCATAAACGTGGTAGCCAATCAGGTGTTATTTATCAAAATTCATGGGTGGGTTTTGATTGGTCAAAACTCTTCCCATACCATATCTTTTCTGCGTCATAGATTTTCCCTATATATCTATATATATGTATGTATGTATATATATGCTTCATTAATTTTAGGTTTAACTTATATTTTTTTTTATTTTCATTTTAATCTTTTTATAAATTAAGAAAACTAAAAATTGAGATTGGAGACAAAAAAGTGTTTTTTTCCTGGCAAAAAATAGTAGACCAAGGCTCCTTCATCTCCTTGCAAAGCATAGATCATGAAAAGTTGCTCAAAACAAAAAAAAAGAAAAATTACCCCAATACAGCTACAGACTACCGTGCACAAAGTTATGGCCTCTAAAAATTTTCATATAAATTATAGTTTGTAACCCTTTGACCAAGTCAACGGTTTTCAACAATTTTCAAGTTTTAGGTTAACGTGGACTGGAATTGTGACTGGGTTGTGGGTCAAATGGTCTTATGAGTTGAATCAATGATGGGTTGAAAACATTCACCATAAATCTGCCTTTATCAACAAAGGTGCCAACTGGCTAGTTGGTAAGGGACCTAATCTCGCCTAGCGCCTGTACCAAGGTTCGGGGCATATGGGTTTGGGGGTTGGGCTACCCCCATTGGGTAGCCTCATGGAGAAAAAAATCTGCCTTTACCTAAGCTTATTTTGATATAAAATCAACAATAAATCATATACAAAATAAAGAAACCAAAATTTATTTTATTAGTGAAGCTATTGATTAATAATTTTTTAAATTTTCCATAAAAAAACCTTGTTATGCAAAATGAATTGGGGTGAAGAAGAAAAATTATAGTTGAGATTTCTTGCTCTAGTAGTAAAAGCTTCTCGTGGGTTGATTATACTCTAAAGGCTCAATTTGGAAGGAGTACAAATATAAATGTGTAGAGTGCAAAACCTTGTATTTTGTATTATTTTGTATGTATTTATACCATACATTTTTGTGTTTATATTCTTTCCAAATTGAGCTAGCGCAAAATGTAGAGGATTGAGAAAACAATTTGATGTTCACATGGATCATTTATACATCTAGCATCCATTAGTATTGATAATATTTATTAATTGAAGTCATGATATTATGAAAATTAATATAAAATTGACATGTGATACATTAAACAATTATATACCAGAATATATATATAAGCTCACTTTGGGAAGAGTACAAATACAAATATGTACGATGCAAATATAAGGCTTAAAAATATAATATACAAGGTTTTGCATTCCAATTGGATATCTTCTACACATCTCCTAATCAAATATGAGAAACATTGAGATCATTGGTCATCTGTAATCCAGCTCTAAAAGCTTTACCTTCCAAGAGTTCTAGGTCTGAAAGCTCCACGGAATAGAAAGGCACAATGGGGTCACGCATGATCACTCCTGGGCCAGAATGTGATGGCCCTTGGGCCCCCATCAGGGATCATTTTTGAATTTATTTTGATATGGCAGTGACATGTCATGCCAATAATGTTGGGATAATTTCATGATAATCGCCTTCAGCATTATCTCTACCAACCACGTTTTTAGAAAAAAAAAAAGTGATTCCTCAAACCCCTCAAAATAACTGTTTGTTAAGGATATGTTTTTAACATTTCAACTCCTCCAACCAAACACCCACTTAATAATCAACCCTACACCCACTAAAGACAAAGCAATAAGCTATAAATTCAGCCACTTCTTTTTTTTTGATAAACCAAGGAGGTGCTACACAAAACGGGGTGGCACAACCTCACGAATCACACAAGGAAATTAAACCAAGGCCCCCAGGGGATTACATTGAATAAAATAAATACATCCATTATCAGTTGAAAGAGCTTTCCTAGCAATCTAGTCCATTGTTTGATTTGCCTCTCTGTAAACATGTCTATATTCCACCCTTTGACTGAACTGATCTCTGAAGTCTGAACAATAAGCATTCTCTAACAATGTTACTAATGGTCCACGGCAGGCACACTTAACCTTTAAAGCAGGAGATGACTAAGCACAATTCCCCTTCTATAATAATTGCTTGATCCGCAAAGTTTACAGCCAAATTATGGTTCTCCACGCAGCCCATGCTTCAACAGCATGGATGGTCGAGTTATCAAGATTGTAGCCTTTGAAATTGATGATATTGCCCAAATGATTTCTTGCCACTGCTGCAATGGAAGACTCTCCACATCTCAAACAGGAAGCATCAAAATTGATTTTGATCGCGCCTGCTCTCGGGGGAAGCCAATGGACATTCAACCATCTCTTCTCCACTCCGATAGCGTTGGAAACCTGTAAAAAGTTAATAAATTCACTCCAGTTTCTAGAGGCGTTTTCAACAATAAGATGTCTTTGGTTTCTATTTTTCCACAACTGCCATAAGATGCAACCACTCTTTTCAAGCACATTATTATTAATTTATTATTCTTCTTATCGGTCTCATGCACCCTAGTCCACCATGACTTCATGTCCAGGTCTGAACCGGTAGGGCCCACTAAATTAGGACCCACAATATTCTACACCTGTTTTGCTTCTTCATGCAAGATAAATTCTTCCTCTCCACAGAAGTTACACCCTTAGTCAATGTTAATCCCCTTTGCCCTCAAAAGGCTCCTTGTGAGGAGTCTACCTTTTAGAGAAAAGTCTTGAGTTTGGATTGACATTTCAGATTCCAAATGAGAGAATTCCAGTTAACACACTGATCATTAGCAACAGACAGGCTACACTTGAGCTTGTAGGCAGTTTTCATTGAAAATTCACCATTAGCATTTCATTATTTTATTCCATAGAGGATTAGGGGCAAGACTACAAACTTTTTCCTCCCTCCAAACTTTCCTATCATGGTCAATGCAGTCACACACCCAAAGATCTTCATCAGCATCATGGGGAATATTAAGATTCTCTCTAATAATAGAGTGGTCAAGAAATTAAATGTAAACCCAAGATGGAATTTTAATCACTACATTTCTTCCACTTTCTTTTTTCGGTTTTACATACAAAGTGCACTCGAAATAGGGTATATATATGTATATATAATAGAGAGAGGAAAGGGGAGGTGAGAGGTCCTCTCACCATAGAATTCATATACATCTCCTCTTCTCATTTCTCACATGTGTATATTTTATTTTTAAATTAAATTATTAAAAATATAGCAAGTCAAAATTAAAACCCTTATGGGTCTTCATTGTCTCTCATAAAATTCATATTTACTCTTGAATAAATCATTCCTAAATCTTTCTCTCTCTCTCCACCCACCTACCTTAATAGTCAATGTTTTAAAGGTTTCCCTACCTTTCCCTACCTTTTCCTTCAAACCAAATACTGCCTAAGTGGAAATGTTAAAACCCAAATTTGCCCGCCTAGTACATGGGGTGAACCAATATTTTTCTTCTGTAAAAGTCTAAAGAAAACATTGCTCCTTTCCATGAGTTATCAGGTTTTTCTCTCCTTTTTATTAATGTAATGTAGATTTGTTTCATGGGTTGTTCTGGTTCAACAACAAAATGCAACAAGAAATTGTTTTTTTTTTTTTTAAACTTGGTTTTTGATCTCATGCCAAGCACATATTTTTGGCTTTATGAGGATACATAATGGGACGGAGGAGGGGGGCCCATCCCCCAACCCTAGTGGTAGTGGGATTTGATCTGAGGTCTCCACTACAACTACCTAAGAACCTATCAACTTAGCCACCATCATTTGGTTCTCATGCTAAGCATTTGATTTATGCATTTCTCATAATATATAAGCTATATAAAAAGGAATAAGTTTGAAGCCCAATAACTAAAAAGGAAAAGAATATTATTTTTCTACTAATTTCTGCAAAGAATTAGAAATATATAAAACTTTGATGAATCATTGTTATTTCATTTTTTTTCGCTTAAAAAGTACATTTTTAACAATAGTCCGCGCATCAAACATGTCACCGCTAGTCTATATCTATATTTCATAGAGGAAAGGGGGCAAAGACCAAGAGTCCTCTACCTCAACTCTCAGGCAGACCTCTTTTCATTTCTCACACATGTGGTTATTTATTTTTAAATTAGAGGACTAAAAATATAAAGTCAATAAAACCCTCTTGTGTCTTAATTATTTATATTAAAATATAGAGTTTGACTACGATGCCAAAAAGGCATGATATGAGAAAAACTTGCAACCAATCAAATGGCATTTATCAAAATTTTTGATTGGTCAAAGATCTTTGGGTATCATGTCTTTCTGGCAACATAGAATTTTCTCAAAATATATCATTACTCTCTCTAATAGAATGATTCTTAAATCTTTCCACGCCTCTCTCTCTCTCTCTCCAATAGTCAATATTTGTAACATCACCTCTCACATCTTATTTCCTCTTAAATTAGGTGTAAAAATTAGATGGGTTGGATCAGGTTAGGGCTAGACCAAGACCAACCCTAAACACAGACCTTGTATTGGAAATAAATTGATGTCAAAATCTAAATTTTCCAATTAGAATCTATCCAAATTTTGGTTAAGCCCCATGCATTGATTGTATTTACTTTCTGATATTTTAACAACTTGGGCCTCAACACCATGAAAAAAAATTGGGCTTTACCAGAAATGTAGAAATATTAAAAAAAGTACATATAAGGTCTCTCTTTTGTTAATTATTATTGATTAACTTAGATGAAAGGATAAGGAAACATTTGTTAAAGAAAAGCTATTTTATCATATAATTTTTTGAAAACTATATAATTTGTGGCTGCACTTGGACGCACATTTATTGTCACAAATCCACATTTGGAAAAAGAAATTTCTAAGAACCGTGTCCAACTCGATTCCTCAATCATGAAATGTCAAATCACTGAGCCGAATTCTCCATCCTTGCACCTGGATTTGAAGGAATTTACTCAGGATTGTATAGATAACGCAACCGAGATGAGAGATAGAAACGTCCCATCAACTGCTCTTTTAGAGCTCTTAGTCCTCCATAAATAACCAGGAAGAGTACAAATCCAGATTAGTAAAAGAAATTTCTAGGCAAGAATCATTGCCCAACTTGATTCCACGGATCATGAACCGATAATTACATAAACTCTTGTGTCAAATCACTGGGCCGAATTCCTATTCTTGCACCTGGATTTGAAGGAATTTACTCAGGATTGTATATAACTCCAAGCCTAGATGAGAGACAGAGATGTCCCATCAATTTCTTTTTGTAGAGCCATTAGCCACCCATAACCAGGAAGGGTAAACTCCAAATTCAGTTTAGTGCACATGGTTTACTGCCTCTAGGCTCTAAATGGTCCCTGCGCCATTCCATCATGGTCTCTCTGATGTTTAATGTTACTTCAGATGTATTTGGCACAAAATGTTGAGACGTTTCATAATTCAAGGCATCATCACTGTCTTGGGTTGCAGGCATGACTCCATCCTATCCATCAAAAAAAAAAAAAAAAATCTGATCAACCCTAACATTGTCAAGCTGTTGAACCCCCAAACCCTCACCTGTCTCAATCCTATCACATTGGGTTAGATTCGGATTGGTCTAATTTCTTCTTCTTCTTCTTTTGATAACTGCTTAATTTTTAAGTAGATCACAACCTCTGAAAAAAATTTATTAAGACAAAGCAATAACCTTTTCAGTTCAGCCACTTCAGCTGTTATCAAACGGCCCTTTAGACTTAGAACTAGCCCATTAAGGTTAACCAGCAATTGATGGGACCTCCAATCCAGCCCAATCATGGTTCATAAATGTATTTAGATAATAATCTTGAGGAGCTTTCATGGTTCTTTCCTTCCAAGAATTTAGTCTTGAGCCAACTGGATGACTTCAACCATCTAACCACCAGTCTTCTCTTTTGGCTGGACAACTTGTCATTCTTATAATAAAGACAGTCCAAAAGAATGAATAGGTCAGGACCCAAGGTGGGACCCATACAGAGGTGGGTCCCGATTCCACTGTTATGTGGAAAATGATGCCTTCTTGTCCTCCCATCTTTATCTGAGGAGCACATCTTCTTAGGGAATAGAGATTAAAGAACAACCGAAGAAACCCAGTGTCTCTGTCAACCAAGAAATGTCCTTTTGACCTTTTCTTTGGCATGTTGCTCTTAGAAAGTAAAACCATCAGTAAGTAAAGAAAAGAATCAAATTGGGTTAAAAAAAGGTAGTATCATCAGTTTGTCTGCTAATGCACAAGTCAATTAGCAAGCGGCTTCAAGGCTAGAAGCCAATAAATTTACATGTCTAATATAAACTTCCTCCAGGGATATAAGCATTTCTCATTGACCCAGAGGAGGTTCCAAGCTTATTCATGCAACTTATTTACTAATGATAATGGTACAATGGCTAATGATGAAATGGCAGTGGCATCATGTCATCATGATAAGAGACTCTGCTTTCACTCGTCTGATCAATTGCAGATCCTGCAGCGAGTTGCTGACAGTTTTTCTGAAGGATAAAATGTTGCATCCGTTTCATCTTAGATTTTCTCAGATTTTGGGTTCTTTGTTCTCTTCCTCTGCCATCTTCTCAGCCATGAAAATTAGTTTCTCCAAGCTGTTCCCTTTATGTGTGTCAACCAACTTGTAAACTGCAGGAAGTCGAAATTACACAGTTAGCAGAGAAAAGACCAAGAACTAATATCCAAAACGTCCTGAAATAAGAGGGTGTCCTCCAGTATTTCATGTGGCAGTAGTTTTTGTTTTGAAAAACAATATCTTACATACAAAAAACTACCCAAATATTTTCTAGCTAGTCTAATCAATACCAACTTAGACACATTCTACTGGCAGATATCAAAAGAATTGGCTATCCAACAGTCTAGCTAGACAATTTGGGATACTCTATCAGTGCAGCTACAGCAAAAATCCTCAGAAGAAAATCCTTCTACTATAACTGGTTATCTATTCAACATATATAATTTTTTTTCCTCTCATTGGTAATCATAACTTCTATCTCCAAATAATACTGGAAAATTCATCAATATCTAAATGTCTGTAAAAATGTCTATGCAATATAAGATTAATTGTGTATGCACTACTTTCCTCAGTGATTTCCATTCCTAATGGTCATGACTACAAATGGTAAATGAGCATAGGTTGTCTTGCATTATGCCTCACTAACAGGACCTACCTATAAGGTGACAAAAGCTGTTCAGCGGATTTCTTAGAAGAACCAAACTTTTACTGGTAGGCATTTCCAAAGATTTGAAAGTAGTGAAGCAACATAAGATTTTCTTTCTACATATTTATAAGAAAACAAAACCACCTCTCCAATTTGTTTAACATGTAAAAATCATTGCCATGGAATTCTGAGCAATTCAAACATGGATTACATATTTCAAATACTAGCTGATCTTTACAACTCGTATTTAATCTCAACTCTGACAGAAAACATGGCTCTTGATAGAGCACAAAGGTGGGACATGTTGTGTAGCCAACCTCAAATTGTTGGAATTAAGGCTGAGATGAGTTGTCAAGAGTATTCAATCTCAACTCTACGGAACAATAGGGGGAAAAGGAGGAAGAAGAAGAAAGAAAAACCTCCTCAGCATCATCTATGTCAACCAAGCTTTAGTGCCTCCCGAAGTCCAATGCTGAAATTATTTTGCAATCCTTTCTTCCCTAAGGCTGTATTTCCCTTTTGCATCATCGCCACAAATTCATTGTAATCAATGCGCCCATCCTGAGATTAAATGAGAAAGTAAAAGAATATAAATTAGAGCATCTTAGAATTCAAAACTATCATTGTTTTTAATGCAAAATAAATTTTACAAAGAGGAACAACCAGGGCGAAACAGAGAAGATAATCATCCTTACTTCCACAGTTGATTTAAAAACCCAGTAAGGACATATTCTAGGAAAACCATTCTTATCAGATGACCCCAATAACTCAGTGGATTAATGGCCTCAAACATATTGAGTTTTTGGCCTAATAGATTTTTAGGAGGGGGGATCCATAAAATGGGTTATAATTTCCATCAATCTGTGCCACACCTGCTATGTGAGGATAGATTCTTCCTATCCTTCAACTTAAACTGGTACTAAGGCGGTGAAATAATGAGAAGAATACTTACACTGTCCTGATCCACTTCTTGGATCATTTCTTCAAGGCAAACATCCTCTATGCCAAAATCCTGACAGGCTTGTTGAAGCTCATCTTGGGTGATATAGCCACTGCCATCTTTGTCAAAGTAGGAGAAAGCCACACATAGATTATCTTCCTTCTCAATCTTGTTCAGATTCAACGTTGCAGCAATAAACTCTCCATAGTCAATGGTGCCACTATTGTCAACATCCGCCTGCCACCCAAGAAGACAAAACAATAAATTAGAATTTGGGAAGAGAAAGAATTTTAATCAATGCTAAAATATCTGAAAATCCAATACTTATTTATAGTATAATAAAATTATTATGTGATTAAGATATGTATAATTTCTCAGGAGCTAGAGTTTGATTTTAGTTTATTTTAGAAGTACTGTAAGATATTCCAAGTTGCTGGAGACATTTGAGATAGAGATCACTGATGATAGTTTGTGTTAACATTATTATGTGGTTAAGGGATGATGAATGGTGAACGGTTAGATGATCATACCATCTAATGTTTGAACTCGAGTTTTCTTCTACTATACCAATGGCTACAAGCCTCCATGCAATGCAATTAATTAGAAAGAAAATGATCTTCCAGTAAGTTTAGTTGTTTGAGTGGGAGATCCTAGGTGAGGGGTCTGATGAACATAAAATAAATCCCTCCTACATGAATCTTATGTGCACAACAGTGATAATCATGTATTAAACTATTAACTGCTCCATGATGACAAAAAAAGAACTTTGCTGCTCATGTAATCATGAATGAAATGAACCAAAGGCTATTCCATAGTCCATTTGAAAGGGGGTGCATTTATGAGAAACTAATGTAGGTCTTCTTAACAGAGAGGGCCTCTCTTCACCAGTTTTGACTTAACTACTATGAATGCAAAAAATTTGAACTGCAAAATGTTAACGTCTGGCTCTATCACTCTTTGGTTATGAAAACTATAGTCCATAGACATGATATAGTATTATTGCCTTTTTACTGAAGTGACAAGAAATTTGACCATGTAAGAAGTCAATGTTTTTCTTTTTTCATCTCAATGAACAGATTACAGAATGATGAATACTTAATAAATTTTCTGTTGCTTAATATCATGATTGAACTGCTTCTGATACTTACTGCCTGCATTAAATCATAAATTTCTGATTCCTTAAGATTTGCACCAACTCTTTTCAATCCAGCCTTGAGTTCTTCAAATGTGATATGGCCACTATTATCTGTGTCTATCATCTTGAACATTTCCCTAAGGCCAGCAATTTCATCCTCAGAGAGGCTTTCTGCAATGACCTGCAAAAAAAAACACATTTCATCTGTTAGCATTCAAGATTGACTGCAGTTTTTTGGTTTTCTATTAGGCTTTCCAAGGTAGAAATGCTTGGAATCCTGGATGGTAGTTACCAACATGATGAATCCTGATTCCCAAGAACTTACTCTAAGGGCCATTTTCTTAAGCTTGTTCATGGCAGAAAATTGCTTCAAGCGACTTAGAACTGCAGAATCAAGAGGCTTATCAGGAGCCACACCATCAACCTGAACCCAAGGGTGGCCTGCAAGGAACCAAATCATACTTCTATAATTGCCAATAACTGTGGAAATACCAACTTCTTATGAATGAACTAGATTCAATAGGACATGGAAGAGAAAAAGCAACTTATTAGAGATGTAAATTTAGAGCACCTTCTAGTTATTGCCATTAACTGTGTAAAGACCTGTTAGTGGTGTTAGTGAAGGGGTATTTCAGTCTTTGTACTTGTTGAGAATGCTGATGTGTACTGTTATATTAGTTCGAGTGCCTCTTACTTAAAGAAGGGCACTCAAGTCTTTTCCAATAAGTTAATAATATAATAACAGGTCTGGCCGAATCAAGGAATTAACTTTTTTCCC